CGATATTTATCAAAAAAATTTTGAATATTTAAAATTTGTAAAGCAGCTAAAGTAATGGTTGGATAATAACAGCCAGATAATAACATGGTAGCATCATAAAAAACTTGTAACATTTCATTTAAATTACATATAACTGTCCATTCATCTTCAGTTATTCCATAAGTGCTACCAGAACTAGAACTAGAAGCATAATAGTTTATAAAATCAGTTATAATGTCTTTATATTCTATTGCTACACTTAACATTGCATATGTGGAATTCCACCTATGGTCAACATCTTTTGGAATTAGTCTAGGCTTTACATTTTTTCTTTTACAAAATTGTTTCCATCTTTTAAGTCTTTGTTCAGAAGCACTATGCATGTAAGCAACTGTTCTAACCTTTTCTATCATGGGTTTAATTTCAGTAAATGCACTTTGAACAATTAAATTTAAAATATGACAGATGCACCTAATATGAAAAAGATCACCATGACATGGCAATGATAAAGATGATCTGATAAAATCAACAGCTACATTGTTATTACTTACATTATCTAGTGAAAGAGAAAATATTCTTTGTGAAATTTCTAATTTCATAAGTTCTTCAATTATTAAATTTGCAACATTAGCACCAGTATGTGACTCTTCTATTGTAATAAAAGAAACAACTCTTTTAAACATTTGCCAATTTTCATCAATCCAGTGTGCTGTGATACATAAATATCCAGTTTGTGCTCTAGATGTCCAAATATCAGAAGTTAAAGAAAATTTACAGTTTAAATTTTTAAAATAAGAAATTATTTTTTCTTGTTCTTGCTGATAATATTTTAAAATATCACGTTGACAGGTTTGACGAGAAAATTTTTTAAATGCAGGATAAAAACCATCTCTAAACATATCTTCAAATTCATCATCTTCTACTAATTTAAAAGGAAGGTTTTTAAGAATGATAAACCTGATTACGCATTTCCTGGCTCTGGCAGCGTCATAGTTCCAACTACCGAGACTACCAGAAGAGGAGGATTGAGAAATCATGGATTGTCGGATATCACCTTGAGGAGGCTGGCCTTTGTTGTGTTTATCTAAATGGCGTTTGAGGTGGTTGGTGCCGCTCTTATGATGAGCTTGAAAAATCTTGCCGCACAAAGCACACTTAGCCTTCTGGGTGAGGATCCTACCGTGTTCATCCTTGGTGACGTCGATCTTCTCGTAAAAATTCCACACATCGGATCTTGGCCGTTTAGGAGCTCTTGGTGCAGATTCGTCGCCACCGGATTCGGGATTAACTTCGGTAGGAGGACTGATAGTAGGAGGACTCATAGTAGGAGGACTCAATTCAGGATCGGGAGATATGTTTTGCTCTTCATAATCAGATCCGGAAGCCATTTGGGGATTGGATTAGAAAGTATAAATAAGAGAGTATAAGAGTATAAGAGAGAGTATAAGAGTATAAGAGAGAAGAGATGAGTTTTTGGTGTGAAGAAAACAAATGAAAACCCCCCTCTATTTATAGAACCAGCCCCCTAGGTAAATGACCAAAATAACCTCACAAAATAGCCGTTTTTTGACCGTTTTTGAGGGCAAAACGGTCAAAGGGCCAATCTGACCGTTGTTACCGGGCCGGCCCGGCCCGGCCCGGCCACAACGGCCAGATTTGGCCTTTTGACCGTTTTGCCCCCAAAAACGGTCAAAAAACGGCTATTTTGTGAGGTTATTTTGGTCATTTACCTAGGGGGCTGGTTCTATAAATAGAGGGGGGTTTTCATTTGTTTTCTTCACACCAAAAACTCATCTCTTCTCTCTTATACTCTTATACCCTCTCTTATACTCTTATACTCTCTTATTTATACATTCTAATCCTTTCATCAAATGGCTTCAGCGGGTAAAATGGACAGCCCTACACAAACTGATATCGACAACAATTTGGCATAAAAAGCAACAAAGTTCGAATAATTAGGCATTTTCGATTGCTAGTTGCAGGTTTTGAGCAAGAAAATTAATTTTTTTTGCATATATACCCTCAAATTCCCCATATTTTTAGGTTTACCTCCAACGTTTTGAACTCTGTGGCCCCGTTTGGTACGCGGGAATGAGGTGGAATGAAATGTCATTCTCACTTCTCATTCTCTCATACTAAACAAAACTTTTTTTTAGATGTTGGAATGACCATTCCCATGGAATGACCATTCTCACTTTTTGTGGGAATGAGCATTCCAAGTAAGAAGATAGAGAATGATAATTCCTATTCAATGGGAGAATCAAATTAGTTAGATTTTTTTTTCAATTATACCCCTATTAATAATAAGAATTAATTTAAAAATCATGGCTTTTGATTACGTATTCTCATCTTCTCTCAGCTGCTAATTATATTTGAACAATAGGAAATTTTTTGCGGGGTAGAGATTAAAACTAGTGGTACATATTTCAATAACATATTAAAACTAGTGGTACATATTTCATTAGCCTATTATATCACAATTGCTCAACATAGGAGCAACGTTAACACAATTTAATATTCTTTTTAAACTTTTGCTATTGTTTTCCCACCATAGAGAACTATATGTACCCATTACGTACATGTTTGATTGTGGTTCAAGCGCAACAACAAATCTAACTTTTGATTGAAAAATATTTGATCCAATATTTATGAAAAGAGGAAACTCTCGCTGAGAAATTGACCAAAATATTAAAATTATCAAAACCACATTATGTCTAGACTATATATAGAGGTATAAGGGCATTATTATAACACATACCTAGATTAATATAACATATGCAGAAATAGTGAGAATTGTTTAAAAAATATAAACGAAGCATACACCTGATCGATAACATGCGCATTAGTATAACACATACCTAGATTAATATAACATATGCATAAATAATTTTTTTAGTTATTATCATTAATGTTTATTTTTATCTTATTAAAAATCTATGTTGTTATAAGGGCATTATTAGAAAATGAGATTCCATTCTCACTTGTAAACTAGTGATACCAATCATGAGAATGGGAATTAGATTTTATTCTAGCTTCATTATACAAACGCATCCAAACAAGAGAATGGGAATGATCATTCCATTCTCACATACATTCCATTCCATTCTTTCTTCCATTCCATTCTCACTTGACTTCATTCTCACGTACCAAACGAGGCGTAAAAATAAACTTTACTCTCTCTTCCCCTCCCTTATTTCTCATATCCTCACTCTTATCTCTTACGCCTCGTTTGGTACGTGGAAATAAACCCAAATGAGAATGGAATCGAAGAAGGAATGAAATAGAATTAATGCGAGAATGGAATAGTCATTCTCATTCTCATGTTTGTGTGTAATTTATAAAATAAAGTGAGAATGAACGTATTTTAAAATTGTATATTTTATTGATTCCCATTTAAGTGGGAATACCCATTCCCTATCATTTCATTGTGAATACTCATTCCCACATAAAGTGAGAATTGATGAGAAGTGGGAATGAGCATTCCAACTTTAAAAAAGAGGGTGTGTTTGATAGAAAGAAATGAGAAGTGAGAATGATCATTCCATTCCATATCATTCCCGCGTACCAAAAGAGGCCTTAATTTTCCTCTTTCTCTAAACTCACCTATCTTCTCAATTTCTTCAACTTCTCTTATCATTTCTTTGCTCTCCCTCTCTCCTTTGCTCTTCCTCTTTCTCTCATCCCCACCACCCCTCCCCCTCCCCCCCCCCCCCCCCAATGCTTTAAGGGGATGTTTGTTTCATCAAAAAATTTAGCATTTGGTATGGATTACAAATTTTGGGATCAAAAAGTGAGTTTTTTTTGTATTTTTGTATTTCATATATGATGTTTGTTTTAAATTTTTTTTTAGAATATTGAATCCCAAAAGTGTAAAAAGTGCCCAAATTTTAGAATTTGCCAAATCCTCTCAATTTAAGAGGATTTTGACAAATCCTCTCAATTTAAGAGGATTTTGATAAATCTCATAAATGAGTGTGCTTACCTCTCAATTGGAGAGGATTTGACAAATCCTAATTTTATCCTTTTGTGGGAGGTAACCTCACCAAGATAGCATATTCATCATATTACAAAATTTTGGTATTTTGTAACGCTACAATTTGAGCTTGAAACAAATAAAATAACTACAAATTGCAGTATTTCAAATCCCAAAATATTAATGAAACAAACACATTTTAGAAATCCCAACCCATAACAAAACACCTATGGATTTCAAATCACATGGTGAAATCCATATCCTAAAATTATAGGATTTGAAACAAACACCCCCATAATATTGAGTCTGAGAGATGAATAAGAGAAGAAGGTTGGGTTTTTGATGACTAGACGGCGGAGACAGAGGGGCTGTTTGGTTGTATGTTTTTACCATGTAAAAGGATGGAAAGTGTAAAAAAGTGGGTCCCAATGTCAGCTTTCATCACTTTCAATTGTTTGTTTGTAGTTGTGAAAATAGTGTAAAGTGATTTCATATGCTGATGTGGCTTGTAAAGTAATTTTATAAAAAAAAAACATGATTTTAGGAAAAAGCTGACATTGAAGTCAGAAAAAATAATAAAAAATAATTCCAACCAATATGATTATTTGAGTAGGGACCACATTTTACACTTTCCAAACAAACAATTAAAGTTACATTTACAAACCAAACAAGCAATTTATGATTCCAATGGAATAAAAAAAAAATATAAAAGTAAAATTGATGAGGTGGACAACAACTTTCCAAGTTGCATCATAAATACACAACTTTACCAACAACAACCAAACAGCCCTAGAGTGTGTGGAGCAAGGGGGGAGGAGAGAGGGAGAGTTTGGAATTTTTTTTTTTATAATAAACCTGTAAACATGGGACATTTGAAGGGTGTGCAGTCAAAAATTCCATAATTTTCGTAACTCGTCACCGGCGATTGGAGTTAAACCTAATTGTCTTAAATTTGTGGCTTTTTATGTCAAAATATCGCCAAAATTTGATAAAATATTGTCCATTTGTAGGCCAATTTAAATAGCAAATCCACAACCTTGTAAAAAAATAAAAAGAAAACAAAAACTGAAGTGGAGTTTTCCGCGCGCTCCTCGGCCATTAATCCGCGTCCGATCTCAACTCTTCATTCTAACCCTAACCCTAAACCTAAAATGGCGACCACCACAAAACCGAGATCCACCTCATCGTCATCGTCACCGTCACCATCTCCTCCCCCAAAAAATCAATGGCGTATCGCCGGCGGCACGCGCCCCAGCGATCGCTAACCTTCGTCGACGACGCTCGCTCCTCCGCCGCCTTCGAATCCGATGGTTCCTCGTCTCTCCCCTCCCCTCTGCTCGCGGCCCGCGCCATTCGCGCCTCCGCCGCTCACCGCGACGCCTCCTCCGTCTCCTCCGCCTACGACGAGCCCCTCGCCGGAGCTGGCAATAGAAACCCTAAGCATCTCACGAGATCCTCCACCTACGCCACTCACCAGGTTCGTGTAATTCTTTCTTGTAATCGCAATTTTGGAAATTTACTCTCTTTTTTATATAGAAGAAGTATTCCTGACAAAAATAATTTGGGAATTAGGGGAGGCGTTTGGTAAAATTTGTTGATTACGAGGGTCTTAGGTTGCGTTTGGTTCCATGAAGTTGGAGACTACTGTAGTTCCAATTTTATGGAGAAACAAAAAATGATATGTAGTTTCAGTCAAGGTTTTAAATGTCGCCCGACATGTCCGACATGTCGGCCGACATATCGGTTTGAGGGCTTGACCGACACGACATGGACGTTTTCAACTCGTATGTCGGTTTTCAGGGCAAAATCAGAAATATCTGGGTCATATCGGGCATATCGGCCTATTTTTTAGCTTTGAAAAATCGACCGATATGATACTTTTTTTAAGATCTGTTTTTTGTTATTGGGTTTGGGTTTAGTGATAAATACTCAAACTCGTTTGATCCGTTCTCATGTTTAAGGGTTTCTTATGAACCCGATAGAAAGAATTTATGAACCTAAATCCATATATTATTTACTTTTTTAATGTTTAGTCTATAGAATTTATAAAGTATGCTTATATTAAATTTATGAATGCTTAGATTACATTTAGGACATGATATTATACATATGCACACTACCCGATATGATAATCCGATATTTAGTCAATGTCCCCCGATATATCCCCGATTTTCGCTATCCGACATGGATTTCAGCCATCCGACATGAACCCGATATCCGACATTTAAAACCTTGGTTTCAGTTAAGAGGATTTTAGGATCGGTGACATCTCGATGATGAAATTCAAATCTTGCAGTAAAGATTGTTGTGACAGCATCATGAGAATGATTTGGATGAGAGAAACAGTTAAAAAAAAAATTAATAAGGTCAGGCAATTGAGGAATATATAGAGCATTTGTGAACGTGAATTGAGCTGAGCCTGCGTTGAGCTTGATTTATTCTTAGATCAGCATTTGTTGCTACATTCCTGCATATTAATCCAAAAATCTCCTCGCACATGACATATGGAGAAATTCAAATCTACGGCTTCCCTCAAGGAGAAAATGGTGACCCCATCTGAGCAAAAATTCACTTGGTGTTGGACTTGTTGCTTGCATTTAGTTATGTATACGAGCTAATAAGGTTGATGTGAGTGTTTAATATGTGACTGGACCCCAAATTCTAATAGGTTTAACCTTTTAAGATATAACATGATTCGAAACAATTATTACCGTCATGGTTTAAGTTCCTTGCTTCATGGTGCATTCAGATTAGCTAATAGTTGCAATTATGTTGCTTGGAAGGTGCTATAGTTGCTTCTGGGCAATATTAGGCGTGCAGTTTCTGCAATAATGAAAAAGTTTTAATTATGAATGTGGTACCAAATTTGCATCTAATATGGATCTGGTAATACAAGATACATCAAACAATGTCATTGTCTGCTGCTCCGGGATTCAAGCATAATTAGTATGCAATCTAGAAATGCGACAGGCTGGAGGTTGCTTATGAGAAACTAGGTGCTGGTGTTGTTTGATATTTTTCCTGAATTCAGTTAGAAAATATGGATGGAGTTAATATTTAATAACATATCGCAAATAAATAGTGATATGTATGTTTTTTAGAGAGAGACTTTGATTCGAGACATTTTGGAGCAAAATCTTGCTAGTTGAAACTGGATGCTGGGACATCATATGTTTATAATTTTACCTTTTCTGGCTGCAATTCGACACTGGGATGGTATTTAAATTTTTTTTAAAACCTTTTCTGCAGAAATACTTTTAATTGTATTGCATGGAAATATGACAGCTGTATGTTCTAAATTCTTTTAATTGTATTGCATAGAAATATGACAGTTGTATGTTATTTTTTATAAGGGGTTTTTAGATATTAGTCCCTTAAATCTTCAGTAATTGCATATTAGTGTCTCAAATATTGGAAATTGCATATTAATCCCTCAACTCCTATATGGTCTTGCATAATGGTTCCTCTAGTTAACACATGTTAGATTTGAGGGAAATATTTCGTTAAATCTAACTGTTGGAGGCAAATTGACTGTTTTACCCCTCTATTATCATTATGTTCCCAAACTCAGTTCTTCATGAGTTTAAACCCAGTTCCCGCTTGAGCTCTTCTTATAAAAATCCAAACCCACTTGAGTTCTTTTCCAATAGAAAAGAACCCTAACCAAAAGTTGAGCTTCACAAATGTTTGAAACATTAGAGAGAGGGGTAGTTTGGTGATTACAGATGTTGGTTTAGGAGTTAACCCAACCTTGGTTAGGTTTTTTAACTGAAAAACAAACAGTGGAAACATTTTGCATGACCCTATAGGATTTCGGGGACAAATATGTAATTGAAGATTTAAGGGACTAATATCTAAAAGTATTTTTTATAATTATTTGATGTTGGTATCAAATGTATGAATTATATTGGAGAATTAGAAAGAAAGCAGTGCAAGGATATAAAATGATCTGAAATACATTTTAGGTGCTGTGATTTTTCTTTCTTATCTTATTATCTGAGCCTTGTGAAGGACTAATGCTGAACAAGGTTTTTCAGATAAAAAATACATTCATAATTATCCTAATCTTCTTCCTTATCTTATTATTGAGCCTGCCGTTTCAAGAACAATCTATCTAAGAAGTTCGCTACTTAAATCAATTCAGGATTTTGAGGCGGTAAGGCACAGGTTTATCTGTATATAATGCAGAATAGTCTATAACTTTGCTGTGTGATTCTGTTTTCTTAACTTGCGGGCCTAGCTTTTTGTGGTGTTCAACTTCTTTGTCTACACATCTAGGTTTTCATGCTTAGCTTTTGCCTTGTAATAAGCTTGAGATTCATACAGCAGGATGCTGTGACCTATGAGTGCACATCAATGAAAAGTTTGGATGAGACTAAGGATGGTTTCTGGGGGCTTTTGGCTAGAAAAGCTAAATCAATTCTTGAAGATAATAATGCTGCCCAGGAATTTGAAGACAGTGGTCGGAGCCATCCACATGGCCTCAGTACATCAGCACACAGTCAGGTGAGTGGTAATTCTACATCTGATAGCAGGTATTACATTGGTTTTCTTTCTCAAAAGGGCCATTTTTCATAAACTGATTATTTGCAGAGAATATTTGCCACCAATAAAGGAGCATATTTGCGAACAGACTGTTTCATTCTTTTCCCCTTCACCTAAGCTGGGTTGAAATATAACAGAGAAACCTATTTTAACAGAATTTTATTTTATTAGTGGCACTTTCCCTAACGTTGTAGCTTGATAACTTTAACCCCATTCTGTTCACTAGATTTTATGTCTCCACTTATATGTTGCTTATATGTGATTATTCTCTTTGCAGTTCAATCAACTTGATAGTTTCCAGCAACCAGAAAACTCGTCGCCTAACAGACGTTCAGAGTTTGCTTCTTCCCTCCAACACATTGGGGGCACAATAAAAAATGCTCTTGAAGTAAGTTTTTGTCGGATCTGTTTGCAGTATGTAATCTTTTAAGCTTGTAAAGGATAAATATTGTCTATTGTTTTCAATCTATTATTTTACCGTAGATTTCCATTCAAAATGGTTCCTTCCATTAATTTTGTTATTTTTTCACTTCTTTAGGAGGGTCTAACAATTGTGGAGAACAGGACATCTGACATCATCCAAGAAACACGAAACCTGCAAATTAGGAGAAAGAGTGGAAGTTTCAGTGTGCGGAGTCAGCCTGCAGATCTTTCAGCTTCAAACCATCTCTATCTAGATCTACATGACCATGAAAAGCAACTGAAGTCATCTCGCGACGTAAGGTGGCAAATGTATATCATTGGGTTACATAGATATACTGATTGCGAGTCTTAGCTTTTATTGTTCCGTTAATATTCACTTATCATGCTCCCTTCAGTTTAATACTTGATATTTGTGTTGCTTGGAGTATAGTTCTTTTGATATGTTTCATGAACACATGTTCTATCTAATTCTTAAATATCTATTTCTTAAAATTTGTTGCATATCATGTCTTCTCCATGCCACTGTATCTGTGTCCATCCAACAGTCTTTCAGGATATAATAATCTTTAGAAATTAAGAAACTTCAGATTCCTATAACCAGAAATGAAGTATGTATTGATTGAAACATTAAAATGTCAGGAGTCAACTGTCGAGGTAATTGGAGAAGTTTCTTTGCCTGTATCTGGCTGTATATTAACTAATTGACCTTTACGTTCAGACTTAGGAAAGACCTACTGTTTATCAAAACTCAGAGGTAAGGAATATCCTAGGCGTAGTCAAAGCTCATTTTCCTTCTTAGTCATACACCATTTGAAAAATGGTGCAAATAAAACCAAAACATTCATCTATCTTCATATACACTGAACTTATTGATATGTCAAACATGATGCATTTGTTTTGATCCCCCGAAACTCGCAGAAGTACTGATGTGGAAGTGTGATTGTAATCATGTCTGGAAGAAAAGAATGGAACATATTTTAGACCAAATTGGGAATGAATAATGTTTATCATATTGAGCTGGTAAGCACACTAATTTTTTCATTAGTATGCACTTCTTGGTCAGGAAAAGTTGAAGTGGGTGGTTTTGTGCAAGATTATCAGAGTCAATTCTTATATCCAACTAACATATGTTCCGTTCTCAGGGGAAAAATGAGAAGAGAAAGTAATCTACCATGATAGATATTTTGACCTGCTCAAAAGATTATTCTATTAAAGCAGTTCTTTTTTTTTTGCCTTTAATAATTTGGTTTCCAGTGTGCACTGGACTTATTTCCTGCAATACAGCTCTATGAAATAATTATATAGTATATACAACATGATTTTCTTGTGATTTATAGGTTGCAAATGCAATGGCTGCGAAGGCCAAGGTTCTTTTGCGGGAACTAAAAACAGTCAAAGCTGACCTGGCTTTTTCAAAGGAGAGATGTACGCAGCTTGAAGAGGAAAACAAGCTATTGAGAGAGAGTCGTGACAAGGGTGTTAGTATTGAAGACGATGATTTGGTACAACTCTTCTAATAATGAATGGAATTATGGTCTTTGAGTTTTTTTTTCCGGACTTCAAAATCGACAAAAATAAAGGATACATATGATTTAAGAACCTTTGTTCAGCTACAGCAAAATAATAATAACAATAATAATAATTATTATTATAGTAAAAGCCTTTAATCTCAAATTTTGGGGTTGGCTACTAGAACCTTACTTTCCATCTAGTTTTGTTGACAGGTACCTCCACTAATTTAATCATTATTATATCCTTCTTAATGGAAAGTTCTCTTAGGCCTACCTCAAACACTCCTCTATTAATTATTATCTCATCACTTCTGCTAATTGCTTATTTAAAACTTATATTTGTTGTGCTACTTATGCATATTTCTTGAAATTGCATTCATGCATTCTACAATATTGATGAGTTATTGCATAGTAGGGCTGCCATGGATTGAAAAAAAAAAGTATACAAATATCATCGTGTGTTATTGTATGACATATTAGCTAGTGTTAACGCTTGACATAACCCCAGAATATTAATGTGACCTCATAACATTGTTTACACACCATGACACCTATTCCTTTATTCTGTTAAAAGTGCCTCTTTGATGCAGATACGATTCCAATTAGAAACGTTGCTGGAAGAGAAGGCTAGGTTGGCACACGAAAACTCCATCTATGCAAGAGAAAATAGGTTCTTAAGGGAGATTGTGGAGTTTCATCAGCTCACAATGCAAGATGTTGTCTATGTTAATGAAGGCATCGACGAGATCCAAGAAGTCGACCCCCTCAAGATACAGCCTCGCTCATCCCATTCTTCCGCTGGACCTCTCTCCCCCATAATATCTAGACCTGGCTCTTCTAACAACTCTAATAACACTTCACCTCGATCTCCCAACAACGATGACCCTATAGAAATGTTATCTCCATCCTCTCCTCCTACAGGGATTCAGGTAGAAACTCAGGCAGGGAGCACTCCAGTTTCTCCAAGATATGGAGGTTTGTTGAGGCAACGTTCTTTATCGCGTTCTTGAGATTTGTTTCGGACCCCATGTCGTGTTAGTTGGTTCGTAATTGTAAAAATAATAGTTGGTTATTCATGATTTGTGTGATTTTACATCATTTGTGTACCCGAAAGTGTAAATTATTTACATTGGTTTGGATTGTTTTTGATTCATAGAAGCTAGTCTAATGTTAATTTGATCAGTGATTTGGGACTGTAGTGGACATCTGTGTGGTACTGTTTCAGAAAGAAAAGATGGGTATGAGTTGTCAGCTTATTTTGCAAGTTACCGAGAGATGAACCCGTGGAGAGGTTCATTCTACGAGTCACAACAAAATAGGTGAATCTTGTTGGTTTCGGGTGTAGCCCCAAACCTTAGAACAAGCATGCAAAATAAAGATTTCTCTAAATTAAGAAATCAGACGAACTTGATAGTTCAGGCGAACTTGATAGTTCAGGTGAACTTTATAGTTCAGGAGAACTTGGAAGTTCAGGCGAACCTGTAGTTCAGGCGAACCTGTAGTTCAAGCGAGCTTTGGAAGTTCAGGCGAACTTGGAAGATCAGGTGAGCTTTGGGGGTTCAGGCGAACTCCAAGTGCAGGCGAAGCAGTTTAGGCGAGCTTGACTATGTTCAGGCGAGCTTCGCAGTCAGGCGAACTCGCAGAAAACAGATTCCTAATCTGTTTTGACCTAGGGTTTCCCTATAAATAGGGAACCTTGACCGCCACTTAAACTCGGGTTTTCCAGAGCGATTCCTGTAGCGATTTTGGCGGCTATTTTTGCAGCGCCTTGAGCGGTGATTTTTCATAGAAAAAAATCTCGCGTCTTGAGAAATAAAAAGAAAGTTCTTTTTTGAGTGATCTCAAGGAGTTTGAGATCATCTCTTGCAAGCTTTGTAATCTTCATTAATATTCAAAGGAAATTTTTTGTGTGGCTCCCGAGGACGTAGGCAAGTTGCCGAACCTCGTTAAAATTTTGGTGTTATCTCTTCTATTTTTTCCTTGTAAAGTTTTCTTATTTGCTGTGATTTCTTCTTGTCTTCTTTCAACACAAGATCCGGAGAGCACGTTCCGCGAAAGGGTTCATTTGACAGGTTGTCGATAGGACGAATCCCCAATAACTGGTATCAGAGCTTCGTTCGGATTAGATCTGTGTGAGAGTTATGGCAGAAGAAGGCATATCAAAGATTGAGAAGTTTGAAGGATCAGACTTTGCCTACTAGAAATCGCAGACGGAGGACTATCTGTACCAGAATGATCTTTATCTTGCCCGTTGATGGGTAAAGCGAAGGGAAAGAAGAAGGATGAGACCGATGAGGACTGGGAAATATTGGATCGAAAGGCTCTAGGACAGATCCGATTGTCGCTCGTAAAATCAGTCACACATAATATATTAAAGGAGAAGACGACGGTGGGGCTTATGGAAGCGCTCGCAAAGATGTACGAGCAACCGTCAGCTGCAAACAAGGTGCATCTCGTCAAAACGCTTTACAACCTCAAGATGGCAGAAGAATGTTCATTCACGATGCATCTCAGCGAGTTCAACACGATTGTTGATCAACTCATCTCAGTCGACATCACGTTTGATGACGAAGTGCAGGCTCTATTGATACTATCGCAGTTGCCAGATAGTTGGACAAGTTGTGTGACCGTAATTAGCAACTCGGCGGGGAATGAGAAGTTAAAACTGAGTGAGGTTGTCAGTATGATTCTATCTGAGGAGGTTAGAAAAAAATCACACGAATCAGAAGGTTCAGATTCAGCCCTAAATCTCGTACAAAGAAGCCGAAGTCGTAATAAGGGTAACCAGAACAGGAATCGATCAAAGTCGAAGAAGAAGAGGTCGAGCTCGAATGTGAGGCCTATCAAAGGGAAATGTTGGAACTGCGGCTAGGAGGGCCATATGTCTTTAGTCTGTAAAGCACCAAAGAAGGATGCAAGTGAGCAGGAGGCTTATCTTATGCAAGTTGCTATGGACAGTGATTCTGATTCATGGGTTATTGATTCGGGAGTCTCATTCCACGCCACTGTCAATAGGAAGCTTCTTCATAACTATGTAGCAGGAGACTTTAGAAAAATGTACTTGGGGGGACAACGAGCCCTGTAGTATCGTTGGAAGAGATGACGTGCAGATACAGATAAAGGGTTCCAAGTGGAATCTAAAGAATGTTAGACATGTACCGAAGCTGAAGATGAATCTTATTTTGGTTGGTCAGCTTGGAGCAGAAAACTATGTTACGATATTTACCGGTGATTCATGGAAAATCTCCAACGGCACTATGATAGTTGCCCGTAGCAACAAAACTAGAACACTCTACCTAACTTCACATGCGAGTGACACCCTCGCAATTGCAGCGGGTAAGGAGAGTGCAGATCTGTGGCACAATAAGTTGGGACACATGAGCGAGAAGGGTATGAAGATCCTACACTCTCAAGGAAAGCTAACCGGTATCGATTCAGTTGAAGTTAGTGTTCACGAAGACTGCATCTACAGGAAGCAGAAGAGGGTCAACTTTCAGAAGAGTGGAAGACCACCTAAAGCTCATAAGCTAGAGCTTGTTCATACAGACGTATGGGGGGTTCAGCTAGCGTGTCTTCTCTTGGCGGTTCGGTATATTATGTCACCTTTATTGACAATCACTCAAGGAATGTGTGTATATACTTCATAAAGCATAAGTCAGGGGTGTTTGGAATATTCAAGAAGTGGAAAGTCATGATGGAGAACGAGACATATCTGAAAGTGAAGTTTCTGAGATCATACAACGATGGACAATATGAGATGGAAGAGTTTAAGAAGTTCTGTGATCTGAATGTGATTCGTTTAGAGAGAACTACTCCAGGAACATCGCAACAGAATGGCGTTGCAGAGAGAATGAACAAAACATTGATAGAGCTTGCGAGGAGCATGCGTCTATATGCAGGTCTGCCGAAAAAAGTTTTGTGCGGACGCAGTGCATACAACAGCTTACTTAATTAATCATGGGCCATTAGTTCCATTAGACTTTGGGACTCCAGAGAAGGTTTGGAGTGACAAGAAGGATAATCTCTCACACTTGAGAGTCTTTGGTTGTGTGGCATATGTTCATATCAGTGACCATGTCAGAGACAAGCTAGAAGATAAGTCACAGAAGTGTACATTCATTGGATACGACATTGATGAGTTCGGATATCGTTTGTGGGATGAGAAGAACAGGAAAATCATCAGGAGCCGAGACGTCATATTCAATGAAGAGGTGATGTATAAGGACAAGGATAATACAAATGATAACTAAAGCAGTGGGGGCAGCACTAAGGATGCATGTGCATCCGAGTATATAGATTTGGAGGAGCTTCTGGATGGGGGAGACAATGTTAGTTCTGATCGAAGAACAAAGGAGACTCGAGGTGCAGAGATAACTACCCAGGGCAAGGAGCTTAGGAGGTCATCTAAGATACCCAAATCGAATCTCAGATATCTCTTATCACTAGATTATTTGCTTTTGATAGATAGCAGAGAACCATAGTGCTATGTGGAGGCTATGCAAGTGAGTGAATCTCAGCAGTGAGAGCATGTGATGTAAGAAGAGATGAATTCTCTCCGCTCGAATGAGACATAGGAGTTGGCCCAGCTACCTATACAGAAGAAAGCTTTACATAACAAGTGGATTTACCGGGTCAAGTAGGATAGTGATGGAAGCAAGAGATACAAGACCAGATTAGTTGTGAAAGGATTCCAATAGCGGGAAGGAGTGGATTATACGAAGATATTTTTCCCCGTTATGAAGCTTACAACCATCAGAGTGGTGTTAAGCTTAGTAGCTGCTGAAAATCTCCACCTTGAGCAGTTGGATGTGAAGATTGCATTTCTTCATGGTGACTTGGATGAAGAAATCTATATGAAGCAACCTGTTGACTTCATTGAGGAAGATAAAGAAGAGACGGTGTGCAGGCTCAAGAAGAGCTTGTATGGTTTGAAACAGGTTCCAAGACAGTGGTACAATGGTAGTTTTTTGTACGTAATGGTTTGCACGAGGCCGGATATTGCCCATGCAGTGGGAGTTGTGAGCAAATTTGCAAGCAACCCAGGAAAGCAATATTGGAGGCCGTGAAATGGATATTACGCTACTTAAGAGGGACTACGGATATGTCACTGTGCTTTGGGAGAAAGAAGTTCGTACTGTAGGGATACGTGGATGCAGATTTTGCCGGTGATCATGATACGAGGCGAAGTATCACGGGGTATGTTTATACCTTAGGGTCGACAACAGTGAGCTGGGTCTCACGTTTGCAGAAGATAGTGACTTTGTCCACGAGTGAGGCATAGTATGTCGCTGTGACCATTCAGAAACTAGAGTTGTGCGCAACTTCAGTTGTCCTTCATGCGTAGGAGATGAGGACAGAGCCACACTATGAGAAAGATATTAAATTAAAGAAAGAGATTCTCCGGGTAGGAGAAGGTGCTTGCTAAGTTGAAGAGAGCTTGTTGACGAAGGTTTGGTCTCCAAGTGAGAGATTGTTGGTTTCGGGTGTCGACCCAAACCTTAGAACAAACATGCAAAACAAAGATTTCTCTATGTTAAGAAATCAGGCGAACTTGGAAGTTCATGCGAACTTGATAGTTCATGCGAACTTGGAAGTTCAGGCGAAGCTCGAAGTTGAGTTCAGGCGAACCTGCGGTTCAGACGAGCTTTGGAAGTTCAGGCGAACTTGGAAGATCAGGCGAGCTTTGGAGGTTCAGGTGAACTCTAAGTGCAGGCGAGCTCCAAGTGCAGGCGAAGTAGTTCAGGCGAGCTTGACTATGTTCAGGCAAACATAAGTCATACAGGCGAGCTTCGCAGTCAGGCGAATTCGCAGAAAACAGATTTCTAATCTGTTTTGACCTAGGGTTTCCCTATAAATAGGGAACTCTGGTCGCCACTTAAACGCGAGTTTTCCAGAGCAATTCCTGTAGCGATTTTGGCGGCGATTTTTTAGAGAAAAATCTCGCGCCTTGAGAAATAAAAAGAGAGTTCTTTTTTGAGTGATCTCAAGGAGTTTGAGATTATCTCTTGCAAGCTTTGTAATCTTCTTTAATATTCAAAGGAAATTTTTTGTGTGGCTCCCGAGGACGTAGGCAAGTTGCCGAACCTCGTTAAATTTTTGGTGCTCTCTCTTCTATTTTTTCCTTGCAAAGTTTTTTTATTTGTTGTGGTTTCTTCTTGCCTTCTTTCAACACAAGACCCGGAGGGCACGTTCCGCGAGAGGGT